TCCGTGGGTAGTAATTTGATGACAAAATAAGTACTAAGAGTATGGAAAGTGAAATTTGCAAATTTGAGAACATTACAGGCGAGAACCTGCTTTTAGTTATATCATTTAGCTTAATTATACAAGTCAACTACAATATGACTCATGAATTGTCACATAGCTAAATCTTACTATAAATGTAAATTTTCATTCCAATTTTTTATAAGTCTCAATGGAAATGAGACTAGAAATCTAACTGAATATTATATATTGTTACAATCAAGTTTCTCGTTCCTTTTTCACACTTCCATATACTTGAGCTTCTAACTAATGCCGACTTCTTTTTACAAATAATGTCATACGGTATCTAAATAAGTTTATACATTAAAGACCTTCATATATGGATGTGCCGTTTGTTTAGTCTATATCGGAAGTCACTACTTTATTAAAAGGTTGGTCTGGTGCCGAGGGTCCGTATTTGGTGAGGTTATGTAGGTTGTCACCATTGGGCGATGATTGCATTCGTATTTATGCCCGATGACCCTGTTAAGTTTTATAAACAAATTGCGTAACGTATTCTGGTTAATCTGATGTCATACGAAATGTAAATTGCTGAAGTTTTTGATAAAAACGCTATGACCGTTAATATTATGAATGCATGCAGCTTGGATTACAAGAGGCGAATTTTGATGTATATTTAGTATGACAGATAGTACTTAGGCAATTAGGTTTTTGTTATAAAACCCTTTGATTATATAACGCACGACTTAAAAGTTTTGTGAAGTTTAATTTATTTGAAATATTTTTTCTTTTTTTTTGAAAAATAATCATATAAATGAAACTAACTAAATCCTGGATAGTTTCTAAACAAAGCGATGAGGGTTGGATTGGATATACATATATAAATTAAGAACCATTCTTTTAATAGTTTCTAATAGACTTAGGTCAGTAGAATACGACAAAAATCGAAGACGATATACTAAGAGATGAAAATTCGCTTGTAATTTGTCCGTCCAAATGTATTATCGCAAAAAGTCAATTTGTATACTAAAATCAATTCATTTTGCTTCCCGTCGAGCCTTTTTTCTGTAAGCGAGCTGGGTATTAACTTTTTTATAGTTTCAATGTGGTTTAGGTTTTATTACGGAGCAATATATAACATTAAATCGCTAGTATTGGATATTAATACCTATTTTTTTATTTTTTGCCTAAAATGGATGGATGGTATTTTGAGAAACCCGCTATAATAATGCAGTAATGTGAAGGAGGAGGCTCCTTTACGTTACTGCATTAATAAAACGGGGTTTCCATCATAACTTGTGTGATCAAACATAAACTTTTTTAATTATCACTGTCGTAACGAGATTGATTGTGTAACTTTCTTAATATTCGTCATCTATTTTGCATGATTCAGAGTCAAATATTTTAATGCATTATGTAAAAACACCATTTCAACATCTCATCTCATGTACTAACAGTATCGTACAAATAAACGTGTTTTAAACATTAAGTTCATGGCCATTACTACACTAGATCATGACACTAGGGAGTGGATGAATATCAAGATACTGCATAAGCGATTCTTCACTATTATTTTCTTAAAGAGAGTAGCAACTCAGGTTGCTACTTAACATTGCAAAACTGGGTATATATTGTTTGAACAGGCAGCATGTAATGCAATCTTATAGTTTACTAGCAGACCCGGCAAACGTTGCTTTGCCAAAAAAAAAAATTTAAGGATGGGTCACCCTTACCATTTAGGGGTATGAAAAATAGATGTTGGCCGATTCTCAGACCTACTGCACACAAAATTTCATGAGAATCGGTCAAGCCGTTTCGGAGGAGTATGGGAACGAACATTGTGACACGAGAATTTATATATAAGATATACACCAATATATTAAATTCGTGTATTAGATTGATTATTTTCAACAGTAGAAGCAGTTCATCTGGTCATGTTATCAAGCTGTGACGAACTGCGTCGTCTGCATCCCAGCACATACCTAATGCCTTATGCCAAATGTTACCTATCTTCATCAAGCAAGATGTTTGCTCATTTCAAATCATTTTCGCTTTCGCTAGTTCTATCCAAATGAAAATTTCAATTTGTCAATTTCTATCATTCTTATCATCTATTATATCATCATTCGGTAGTCATTGGAAATTCGGCACCAATACGATTTCTTCGAGACCTTTCCAATGAATAACTTCATTTATGGGCACCTAACGATCATCTGTCAACACCATGCCTCATTATTTGGCTGTCAAAACTGTACAATTTCCTTTCATATTCAAGCAATATAACAAACGAAATCACGAGTTTTCATTATCTTTTATTGATAGTTTGATGTTTAACATTGTGCTTCTTTATTCAGGTACTCTGTAGATACTCTATATCATTTAACGGCAACGATCCGTTACAAAACTATCTTTGTATTAACACACTCAATATGCTTCCAGGCATTGTGTACTTATGGAGGATTGGCTCGAGAGGCGTCACGGGACCCTCTCATACCGATTGACGCAGGTGATCACTGGGAAGGGATGTTTCGGAGATCACCTGTGTCTGATCCGCAAGGAGCCAACGCCTGAGTGCCACCACTGCGATGGCCAGACCGTGGACACGGCTCTCCACACGCTGGCAGAGTGCCCGGCGTGGGTTGAGCAGAGGCGAGACCTCGTGGCGGCCATCGGAGTGGGAGTTCTCTCGCTCGATAGCCTGATTGCGGCTATCGTGCGGAGCGAGAGTGCGTGGAACTCTGCCGTCTCCTTCTGCGAGCAAGTTATGCTCGCGAAGGAGACGGCGGAGCGGGACCGGGAGAGGTTTAGAACTCTCCCGGCCCGCCAGGCCCGGGCACGGGCCAGGCAGCGCAGGTCACTCAGGCGCCGGAGGTCGCAGAACGACCTCCGTCCTCCATAAGCGCAGGCCTGGGGGTGACAGGTGAGGCCATCTGTCACCCTAGCAGAAGCAGGCCGGGGTGGCGGCGAGCGCGTTGCGAAGCGCGCTCGCTTTCAGGGAGCACAGGGAACATGGGGTTCCCACACGGGGCGGGGGTCGTCTACTCGTCTGTAGATGACCCGAGGTATGTCGGGGCACCAGGGCCTTCCTTTCTAGGGTATACCTGGTTCCCCGGCTATTAGTACCCGGCGAAGGCGTGCGGTTTTAGTCGGTTCGAGTCCGACATGCCACCGACAGGTGGTATCCGAGGGGATTTCCGCACGGAAAAAAAAAAAAAAAAAAAAAAAAAAAGGCATTGTGTACTTTTCGTTTATTAACTGCCAATAAATTGCGAATCAAAATTCAGGTGATTGCATTACATACAGATATATGTACTATCTATCTATAATAAGATACTAAAGCTTATGAGTTTTTTTAGTTTGTTTTTTTGTTATTGATTTCGAATAAAATAGGCTAGAACTCATCTTGCTACAACTCCTAAGAGCTGAGCAGGTGAAACTGCTTTATAAAATTTGAACTGGAGGGACTAGCTAATGTCTAGTTTACTAGTAGTTTCAACACTTCTTTCTGGTCTTTCTAAACTAGAATATGAAAATTTCACCTCATCAAGTACTTAACTGTTGTTGTTAAGTTGCCAGAACATAATATTGAGGTAATACTAAATGATAAAAAAGTTTAGTTTATACATTTACAAATAAATCACTGGATAGCTTGACCACCTCTACCTGCCAAAAAAGGTATCGGACATTGGCAACTATGAGTCAGTAGAGTATCAATTTTATGCGGCATCCAAACAAAACAATAAACATTTTATTTACAAAGAAAATAAGATAGGCATAACTTATAAGTAATTAAAACCTTTTTTCCAACCGATCACGTGTAACTGGCATGTTCTATGATTTTATACATGTGAAACAATATGCATTGATCAATACGTCTGACTGCTAAACCTGGAATAACAAGTTTCTAAAGTACATGTCGACCGTTAGTAAGCGGCACGTCTCGGTGCATGATGCATTTTGCGATTTAACTGTCTCATTGTATTTAGAACTTTTGCTGGACGAAGTTCATCCCTATAGCTTTCTACCAAACTTGATTCTCGCACTTAAATCGCTACATGACGTATAACTCCGTGCCAAACTTGGTTAACAGACTGAATCGCATCGACTATAGGAATTTTATACTCGTACTTATCTTATTATATGCCTAAAATAACCCTATTTAAAATTGTCACCGGATGTTTCCGTTCATTTAACTAACACACAGTGTTGTGCTCGAACTCGACGCCTGCATTTGTCTACCACTTAATCAATTACAGTCGGACTCGTACAGCATCCCGCGCTTTGTCCCGTATGTCACTACGCCCTGATGACTACCGACCCACATGTCCCACGTCATCATAATAACAGTGACGTCACCCTCGTCGACCTTGTCGAGGAATTGACTTCCAACATCTGTGGTGATCTGTTTCATGTTTACTCAAATATATTTCTTGTAATATCAATGTAAATAAAACCGCGAACATAGACAACTCCCTTTTATTCAACTTTAAACTATGAACTATAAACTTTAAAATTATGAAACACGGCGGATTAAAGCGCATGTTTGTTTTACGAATCTGTATCATTAGTATAACATCCGTCTCGCTACTATCAGTTCGATATCACCCTTTTATAAAAATGAGACGGAAGCATTTCTCTTTAATTATTTATATAAGTTTAGCAACAACTTATATCGCCAAAAGTTTTCGCTGAATATTATTACGACTTACCTTAGCACCTGCAGAACCAAGAATGACGTAGATAGTACCTTCTAGTCACCTATTGCGCAGACTAACAATTGAACGTTGTATTTAGGTATTTTACTTTAAACATTTTCTTTTGAAAACTATATAATAATGCAATGTATTAATAAACGTATGAATGCACAAACTTCGCTGGACAGAAAAACTACATATCACTCCTGAACTAGATACTTATTCCCAAAGTTTCCTAAACGCACTTTATACATAGGTATATTTATATAGGGAAATATTCCTGAAATATATTATTTTGCCAAAACCCACCTGAGTATCACACTGATATGCAACTGAAATTACACTTCACACGCACTTTACTGACTACTGGACTCTATTGGCTGGCATTCGTGTAGCGGCAGTGCGGCCACACCACTCGCGTTCGTGGTCTGAGTGAGGCGTTGCGCCTTGCGCCGGCGCAACAGTGTGGGAGGCGACAGTCGATAGTCGTTCGCATGTCCTGCAACACGAACTACTGACAAAGCATTTACTGACCGATGTGCATAATAATTTTGCTTACTTACATTAGGAGTTTGATTTCAAAATGTTGGGTGCTGTCTCTTGACAGTGACGGAAACTAAAAAGTTTACAATGTAGATATATGTTTGAAATAGCTTACCTTGTCCATATTACTAGGTAACTATTAATTATGTTAAGTAACTACTAAAGTCTCAAAGTTTACGGACAACAAGACAAGGTAGCTCTGAAAAGACCTGTGGGACCAGTCCTACAGGCATACCTAATCGTATGTTAGATAATAAAGCCATGGCTAATCAATGATGGGTGATTATGTATTCTCTTACTCGATATAATCTAAATGTTATTTGATATAAATATCTGGTCAATATGTTTGATATTTCATATGTATGCATCTTTACAACTCGTAGCTCAAAATCGTATCGTTAACAGGTGGACCAGCCACAAAACTAAATAGTTAGTATCTACGAGTAGTAATACGTACATCGGTATGTATTCATAACATCTCAACAGGTCACAAGGTGAATTACATGTTCAGCCATATTGTTAAAGTTCTTTTAGATTTTTTTTGTTGTTACTTGGGCGGAGCGGGGATTCGCGATAATTTGTAGGCGTTACTCCTTACTAGTGATCGCATTACAAGGTAGTATTACTCATTGTTTTGGTTCAGCGCAGTTTACGTAAAAATAAGAAGTAAAAAATTAATTATTTGTTACTAAACGCTTTTATATCTCTAACACAGAATTCATTGAAAAAACAGTAATGAACACTGCTGTATTTGAATTGAGAAATTAAAACTATTACTTAAGGAAGATATTATCTTACTTGATCTTAGCTACTGCATCGATATTTATAGATTGGTTCTCGTTTGTTGACTGGTTTGCCTGCTAAGAGGGATGAGCAATACCCTAGTACATAAAAGCGGTTCACCCGATAACATTTTGAAAACTATTCGGGTATGGAGATTTCTTAACGGTATTTTCCTTCATGCTGAAGCAAATATTAATGGATTTCGAGGGTATGTGGCGTAAGGAGAGGGAGTCGAAGTTAATTGCCGTATGACTACGATGACACTACTACTAGACTATAAAATACTTGTAGCAATTAGGTGAAAAAAAATTTTTTTCTTTTTTTCGCGAAATGCTTTCGATTCGGATTCAGTGGAGTTTGACGCTTAAATCTCTTTCGCATGAAAATTATCACGACCCAGTGTACGATATGAGGAAATATTATTTAGAAAGTGAGAAAATGAATTTGACTGGTAAAAAAGGTAAAATATAAGTCAAATTTCCTGCGCAAAATTGCTCACAAATAAACTTATGTAATGACACCAATGGAATGTCCAGAATTTTCTAAAAATGTCTTATGAAAGATAAGATATTGACCCAAAAATTTGTAATATGTTTAGGAAATATGTAGTCGTACTGCATTAGGAAAAGAATTTTCTTATTTTTTTTTTGTTTTCAATTTTTCCTGTATCTTTCAACTTAATTAACTATTTGTCTGCTACACACAACGGTCCTTTGCCTGTATATTATATAATTATATTACAAGGTGGTCCAACGACCAGGTGAAGGTCGCGGGGAGCCGTTGGATGCGTGCAGAACAGGACCGGTTATTGTGGCGATAAGGTTCACCACGCCGTCGCAGTGGAGATGATGATGATGACGATGATTATTATGATATCTGATATTTAATAATATGCAAAATTAGAGACACTAATAGTAATTAAAAGGAAGCAAAACAGTAGTTGTACATGTTAATTAAAGAGCTTTTTGTTTTATTCCAGGTACATAATGTTGATGAAGTTCTGGAGCGCCACAATGACTTTTTGGAGTCGTGTCTCGGAGACTGTATGCTTACGAGTCCTCAGTTGTTAAAAGCTGTAACAACGCTATGCCTCGTCTGCGTGCAGTTTTGTACATTTATACAGGTGAAAAATAGTTAATCCATTTGCTTCTAACTCATTATTTGCTAAACCAATTTAAACTTTTTTACAAGACACATGCCTAATATGTTTATTGAATCATATTAGTCGTAGCATAGTCCTGGCAAAAATATTGAAAAGATTTACGAGACCTTCAGGTATTAGTAATTAGTAAAAGCGGCACGCAGGCAATTTCTGCAACCGGGGGAATAAAACTCGAAGGTAAAACTCGAAAGCAAAACCGTAATTAACACAGAACTTAGCGAACTGTCACGAGCTATAGTCTCTAACCGAACAGCTGTATTCGACTAGTTAAGGAGTGTAATTATTTTCATTGTCCGGAGCAACAAAGCCTGGGTTTCCTTATTTTACGAGCCCCTGCAGAATCAGGCTGATGGCATCGCAATGAACTGTGCGCGCTCGCTTTTTCAAACTAGGGCAAATTATTTCAAGCTGTACCGAAGTTACCGGGTATTTTCTACTTACACTAATCCCGGTTTGGAACATTGTGTTTAGTTGGTTAGATACATAAATACTTCAGAATTAGGAGAAATTTCTCACATTTTCAAAAGATACCATTCACTTAATAGAAATTAAATAAAACAGGAGCTGTGTAAAATATTTTTAAACAATACCATTAGATCTAGAACAAAGTCCCTTAATAATTAACATTATCTTTATATTTTTTATTTGCTATTTCTAAGCAATAATCTATTTCTATCCTTCTATTCTACCTATTTATTATATTTACTTACATAGACTCTTATATAATATTAGCCAGGCTTAGTTGTAGTATTAGTGGAAGGTTGTTAGAATTAAATATTTAATAAAACATTAAATTGATGTGTTGGTTAATTCTAACCATAAGTGTCTACATAAACTTAATGACATACAATTTGTTGGTTTTTTGCTCATAACTAGAAAACATTACGCCGTGTATATAATAATTTACACGGTTAATCTTATGACTTATTGATTACTACTTAGTAATATAAAAATGTAAATACTGCTGAGACATCACTTAAAACTATATGAATTAATTTATCTATTGAATTAATTGTGCTTCGTGGATAGTGTGAATTTTGTTATTAGAAACCGTCTAATTGATTTAGTTCAATCATTACAACCTTCCTCTAAACATAAGTTTTAACATTAATTTTTTATTGTACTTTCTTTTAACGCTACCAAAACACGTTAATTGGCAAAGGAGATGCACAAGTACTTCGTGGACGCAGAGCTTAACAGTATGCTTGGATCGACGTATGAAAATACATACTATAGTGAGGTATAAACAGAGTACATCAACTTGTAACAAGTAACTATTTCACCAAAGCAAATTGTACTGTATAACCACAAGTTTTATTGCATTTCATTATTAAAAATCTCTTGTCTATGACAAGATGACCTGTCCACTGTCAACCAATTACAAAACGCATTAACTACATACTGTTAAATAATTGGTTTAAAGACATTTTGCACTGCTTTTAAGTTGTAAATTCTGACACACATGTTGTATGTTCTAAAACTATGGATTAGTACGTAAATGCTTCCATGTAGTATTTGTGATGAGTCAAAATCATTCATTATCCTTCTTATCATTTCTTTCATGACTTATGTTTTAGAATTTTACCGTGAGTATTATTAGTATTATTATTGTTATTAAATTATATAGCTAGTCTATCTTGTCCAATTAAAACAAATACTTATACAGATATGTAGAGCTATTTCACCAAAAAGGATTGGAGTATTTTATTTATTTTCCTTTATAGTCATATATACTTTTTCTTAATGTTATATGTTAATTTAGCACCATAATTGAATATGAACTTCTTATCGAACTCATGATGAATCATACAAAATTACAAAAAAAAATGAGTATAAAAGAATTACAATAAATTTATCAGAAAAGATACCCCACCATAAACATTATCTATGTAAGTAATATTCGTCGTTCCACCAATGTTACTCGTTCACATGTGTACTGAGTTAATAAGGAAGCTCGCCATGCACGCTGCTAAAAATTTTCATTTACGTTATCTACACCTAACTACTTACTTACGTTTATTTTTCTAAACAGTCATAATCCTGGAAAGTATAAGCGTTGAGTAAATAGGTTTCTCTTTGAAAGGCGTATATTATCTTCGTCTTCGTCGTCAGTTTCCATTAGGTGAGTAGGAAGACAAATGCCTCACCATTGAAAAAAAAAAGAATTTTAAACCATGGAGTGTGTGTGGCAAGGAGAACCATCTCATTTGGGGGATTATTGAAAATGTCTCCAGCTTTATACTGAAAAAAATAGAGGTCGCTGGCGTACGCAAAACTATGATATGAACATAGCTGTTGTAAACGGAGTGAGTTCAAATATTTAACAATTTCATGACCAGAGTAGTTAGTAAAATTACTTACGTGATTTTATTAGTCCATCTTATTCTAAATACTTATGGCTCTTGCTTTAAAAATTATCCTAGGCTACCGCGCAGCGCCACACTTGTTTGACGCGTTTTACGGACACTTTTGATAGACAGAGATGGTTCCCCTTGCCTCTACTCCCCATTATTGTAGCTAATCTTGAGCACAAGTGGCATTTTATATATTTTAATTCCTGTTGAATAATGTGTCTTAAGTACTAAAAGATAAAGTTGAAAATGAACCTCAGCGTATTCAAATTCTTCCTTGAATCTGGTCAGAGTTTAGGTGTTTAAAATTAATCTAAATTATAGGGATTAAAAAAGTATGAATAATGAGATAGCAATTAAGCAGTTTCAATTTACTATTTCTTAAATGAAAACCACCACCTACAAAGTAGCACCATTATTTATTGGTAAATTATCCTCTGTTCATATTATATATTGTATCAAAATAAACGAGCTAAAATCCTTTAATTAGAATCAGCTATAAAGCTATCTTACCAAAAATTATGTCTATCTCCTTGTTTTTTACTGGAATAGAAAAAGTAACCTGTGAATAGTGCCTAGTGTGCAGAGCAAAATTACAGTAAAAAGTTTAAATAAATAACATTTTTTTGTATTTAACTTAATTCAGGATACTGGTTGTGGAGGTTCTAAAGTAAATGGCTCATCAGATTCCTTCGCTCGGTCTGTTTCTCGTTACGGACTGCGATTCACTGCGGCGCTGCTGTCTGTTCTCGCTATCATCGAACGAATGGCTCGGGATAATAACACTAATAAACTTCTTAACATATCTGCCAGGTGAGCCTATAAACGAATTTATTTTTTAATGTAATTTAAACATTAAAAATGTTGAGTTTAACCTTACTCCCCACGACGATAAATCACTGATACTTCTCAATATTTCCAACATAAACAGAAATAAATAATTTCGATTTTCATTTTCGTCTCGATGTTGTGTTTTTCCTTTGTAAACTTGTCTGTTGTGAATTCCGACATTTTTTTTTATCGCAACATTACCCTTAGTATGCGTATACAATGTGTGTTTTTACAAATAGTAGTTTTTATCTATACTAATATTATAAAGCTGAGGAGGTTTGCTGTTTGGTAAAGCGCGGTAATCTCGTAACTACTGGTTCGAATGAAAATAGTCTTTTAGTCTTGGATATTCCCCATTTATCGAGAAAGGTTATATATAATCAGCATCAATGAAAAATGTTACATAAACTAGGGTATATAAAGAACAACTATTGTATGGTAAAATAATAGTGTTATGTCAATCAATTCACATTACAGATTAAACTTCAACACTTACTACGTGAAGCAACTGGAGAAGCTGTGTTCTGATGAGCAGCTGTTGGAGGGTGAGCGCAAGGCCGCGCCGGCCTCCTAGCGCCGGCGCCGCCCCGCGCGGGTCACGGCCGTCTGAGCGCACCGTGCACCCGGGGGGAAGGGGGAAGGGGGGGGGGGCGCTACTTGTGGAAACGGTGCAGAAATAACGATAACCTTGCATATTTTTACATCGTACAGAATTTAAATAAATAATAATACCTAACTTCATACATCTCACACACGGCAGTCTGGTCCCAAACTAGGCAGACCCTGTATTATGATAACCCATCTGCTAATAAACATACTTAAATATTTCTAAATACATACATATTATAGATAACTTACACCCAAACAGAACAAATGACCGTGCTCATCACACAATATTTGTCCTGAGTGGGAAACGAACCCACGACCTCCGGCTTAGCAGTCAGGGTCACTAACCACTAGACCGACGTGCCCGTCAAATAATAATCAATCTACAATCATTTTTATGATAATAGATTTGCCATACCCAACCTGCACATGGAAAATAAACTTGAAATAAAAGTTACAAAATACCCACTACTTACCACAAATTATTGCTCGAGATCCGATTTTTAAATTGTAATGTGTAATTCAGTGATGAGGAATGGTAAACGAATATCTTCTGATCGTAAAATCGCAAAAAAATATTTTACAGGTGTTATGAGTCTAGCTTAATATAAGATAAACTACTTTGAAAAGCCTAAAAGCTGCATATTTAAGATATTAAAAAATACTAATAGTGTTCGTAAAAACAGTTAGTTAGATTTTTCTTAGCTTCAGGCATAAGAATAATAACATTTGTTTTATTTTGTTTCATGAAAATTGTTTTAGTAGACTCTTGAACCTGATTCATTTGAATCGAAATCTATGCTAGTAAAAGTTAGTTATTAATAAATTTTATATTAATAACTGTTAGTTAATTATCTATTAATGTAATAACACTTAATGATTTTTACTATCGACATAAACAAATTACTAATTGATTAATAATGGTTATATAACTGATTTATAATATTCTCAAATTCTGCTAAGTATTCAAAGTAGAATATAATATATAACTCATTGTACAAGAATTTAATATTTCTAAAACAACTTCCTGCTAAACACAAAAGAGTATCATAATTTCATAAAATTATATTCTCATTGTAGTTCTTAAAAGTCGTTCTGTATATGACACAGCCCATGATATGAACTGTCATGACATTATATGAATGGGACCATCTAAATTCGTGACAGAAAATGCGCCATTTAAAATATATACAATATATTATTTTATAATTCTATAACTTTTCACCTAGTAAAAAATGTCTTTCCATTAGCCCTTATATCTAAGATTTGATAGTAAGTGTCGTTTAAATTTATCTATCGACGAAAATCAGAAAATTGCCATTGCGTTAGGGAAATAATTAATGCTATATTAAATTAATGTCTGTTTTGATAGTGATCTAAGTTAGAATAATGTAATTAATAATACAAAATTAATAAGTACACGAATGTAAACCGAATGCCATATTTTGCACTGTGAAAGTATTATAAAAGCATATCGTTTAATGAAAATGCCATTGTATTCGCCTATCTCACATAAATTTAACATCAATTTTATTTTTGTAATTATTATAATATAAATGAAAGACTTAACCAAAAGTCACAAATCTCATTCCTTGCCATAAGTATTAAATTCAAAAGCCATGACGATATATAAGTAACAAGTTAAGGTGTAGTTTTGTGTTCTTTTAGATAAAGCATAATGTTACAATATTGTCGTAATTTCTATAACATAATCACAATTATAGGAAAAGCCACAAATGCATGTTTATTTATAGTGAGAACTTTACATTTGTTACTGTTGTAGGGATATGTATACTTAATTCAAATACTCGCAAAATGACAATTACGCTTTTATCGGATGTTTTTAATAAAATTTAGCTAATTTTCATTTTTTTAAAGTTCCAAATGTTGCTGGTTACACTATTTATATTGTTCCTTATTTCATGTTATAATTTCTTATTGGACTAGTATAGTGTGAGGTACTAAGTTAGGTATCTACCTAACTGATAGTGTTTAAATCGCAGTACCAAAATTTTAAAGGGGGAAAAAAGTTCAGTTGCTCTTAGGTAGAAAAAACTGCCACGGTTGCTAGTGATGCCTTTGCTAATTTGATTCTAGCGTTAAAGATAGCTTACTGGTAAGCTTTGAAGTAACGTAAACTTGAATGTGGAACTAATTTGTACATTTCCTTTCCTTCCCGATGGTGTATTGTTTTGAGCGCTTCTAATTGTTCACTTTACTTTGGAGTTTGTAATAACGTGAAGCTTCTGTTAGACATTTCAATCAAGTTGGTTAATGAAGAACTTTTCGCAACTGTAGTCTATGTTGGACTACAGCCTCAATCAAGGATTGAACAGTTACAATTACTTGTCTTCTAAATATTTTTTTAATTGTAAGGTTTTATTAAATAATTTGTGAATCTTGATATTTTAATATGATTGGTGTAACTTTACTTCGTACGACATTAATTAATTACAAGTACAATAATTAATCGCCTTTGTTATATTTGTAATGTTGCACAGTTTGATATTGCTTTTTTTATTTCAGTTAAATTGTATGTAAATACCATCGTTATTACTATTCAATAAACACGAATACTAAAGTAAGGTATTTTAATTTATTATTTTAATAAAGTGTGCAATAGTCGAGAGTTGACACGATCACAAGCACAAATCTGAAATTAGGTTATACATAAGACCTGTTGTCCTGACGATTTTACTTTCTGTGCATACACTATTCATAGTAACGGAGCCCATGATGCTAAATGGGGATTTACCAGAGCGTCATGGATCTATTGCATTTGAAAGATTAGGTAATAGAATGAATAAAAATCATATAATGTTGCCACTTTCAGCGGTGGGAAAAGCTTCCACTACATACTAATGTGCATGTAATTGACTCACCGTAATCTTACACGCTCGAGTATTCTTGGCCATCGTTTTTTTTTAATAATCTGATGGGCTGCCTTAGACGATCCCCCTATATGTAGGGCTCATGTTTGGTGGAGGCACAGAGTATATTGAATAGTATGAGATAGAGTATTAACTCTAGCTAGGCGATTGCAGCGCGCCAAGCGGGTAGTTACGGAGTTACAAGTACTCATATATATAACTATACTTAGCATCGAGTACTCATGTATAGTTACGTAGCATTGTTGTTGTTATATAGAACATTGTATGGCTACAAAATAAATAATACAAGACATATGTAAGAAACTATTTATTGTCTTTTTTTTAAATATTGGAAACATTGATTTTGCACAGCATCTTCTTCTGGGAAATTTATTTTGGTACCGTTTAATAACTTACGAGTTTTATCACAATTAGTAACACAACACTTTTTCGCAGACATTTCCAATTTAACAATATCCGAATCACAAAAGAAACAAAGTCCTGAAGTACAAGCCGTAGTGAAACAAAGTAGTAAAATCGTTATAATAAAGAAAGAAAAACCAAAACATAAAATCGTGAAAATTGAAAACGGTTTTTTATTGTAAGATCCAATATGTGGTAAATAATTTTTATATATATGCTTTATAAAGTAATTACAAATAATTAATTTAATAAAATTAAATTTATATAAGCGCCATCTAGTCACTAGTTACAACTACACTTGAAGGTACTGTTGAAGTCGATAAAATGTTCTAAGCTTAATGACCGTGGGTGAAGGTACTCAACTAGGTGTAAGGTATTCCTCCTATCTTAATCTGATACGCTCGAGTAAATCCCGAAATCCTTTCTAGGACTCCCCTACTATCTTAAGTGCCACCTATAGAGCTGTACACTCGCAACAGGTACCAAAAACCGGCACTAAAACATGTCAAAGTATGCTATCACAAGGTTGTCGAGTAACAAATGGTAAGGTTACTGTCACAAATAAAACACTAAACATTAATCGGTACATACTATTTGTTTTTATTTAACTGTGGTTACATCGCTTACAGGTTTTACAGGTTTAACCAAAACTATAAAAAAATAGTACCTCAATCGAGAAACTTAAGTGTTGCTCATTTGGAGAAATATATGTACATAATAATAACTTCACACATCTCACACACGACCGTCTGATCCCAAACTAGGCAGAGCCTGTACTGTGGTAACTTGACTACTGATAAACATACTTATATATTTCTAAACATGTTATAGATAAATTACTCCCGACACAACAACTGATCGTGTTCATCACACAATTAAAATTGTTCTGGGTTCGATCGAACTCACGACCTCTAGCTATCGACCAGGGTCACTAACTACTGGCCCAACTAAACTATTACTAAACTTAGTCAAAGTATGTTGTCTAAGTTAAGATAATAACAGGGAATGTCACATTTTGACGTGACAACGTCTTATAATTCGATGGAGCTGGCTGCACGCACGAAAAAACATGACTCATGTGGCGTTACCTCGCTCTGAGGCGTTCCATTTAAGGCGTGAAGTGCAAGCGAGAGCGCGGAACGAATGACAAAGAGGCACAATCGGCCTCCGCGTTCGGCAGCGTTCGACATCTGTCTCTCTCCTACTTGAGTGAGCGATGCGTCTGCGTGGACAGCTGCTACTCGTATACAATAATACATTTTTGAAAAATGCAACCATTCCATCAGTATTTTCTTATGACGTTGTCACGTTCAACTATCGTCAGTAAACTGACTTTACAGACAACCGATTTTTTTTTTTCAATTTTTTGTTTTGTGAGGGTAACACATCTTTATCTATGGTAGATTCGATACCATTTACTAGATTTTTTCAAAATCTCAATAGATGTCGCAAAAAACTATTTTTTTTATTCATGCCTCAAACGAAAAACAGAGGGACTGTCCATGACATACCAGCCAATACCGGCAAAGGATTGTCCACAAAATTACAGATTTTGAGGTTAGAATTCATTCGGGGTTTTTTGCGATCGGTTTAAAGCTTTATGAATATTTAATTATGATTTCTGACTCAGATAATGATGAAAACAATAATAGTTTAATTAATAGATCGACCAATA